TTTTTTTTAAAGAAGAAGGAGAACATTCATTAGATCACGTAAAATTATAAAATTTTGTTTTTTTTAGAATAGACCAGACTTTATTTGTGTGTTTAGCAGTTGTTAGAAAAATCTGGTAACAGACTGGCTAAGTTTATTTCTTTTTGTTGGCATTGTCCGATACAATATTTTTCTTTAAGTGATCTTTGTAGTCCAAAATGTTGCCATTCCATTTGGTAACGGTTTCATTTTCACAAATCCAAATTTCTTCGGCCACCTAGAATATAGAAATAATAAAAATATTAATTTTTAGAACTTTTTAGGAATATAACATATTTTTCAGAATAGTATTCAAAAGCAACTTTGCTAAAACCTTTTGCGGCTTTTCTTAAAATTTTAAAAAAAGGAAAAATCACTAATATTTATTTTATTATCTGAAGAAACTTTCCTTAAATTTTACTATTTTAAGTTCAAATAGAGAAATCTTAAAAATTTCGTTTTAAATTTATCGACACTTTGAAATTCTGATTGATTTCTCTTATTTTCTTAAATTTTTTATACATTTCACCGTTGTTTTACATTTCATAACGTTTATTTTAAAACTTATGAGTTGGCATCACTTGTTTCGATGACAGTTACCTTTTCAAGGAGTTGCCATATGTACAAAGGATTAGTGTGAAAGAAAAAAGTATAAACAAGCAAAAATGTGAAATTCTATCTATCTATCTATCTATCTATCTATCTATCTATCTATCTATCTATCTATCTATCTGTCTATCTATCTATCTATTTATCTATCTATTTATCTATCTATCTATCTATCTATCTATCTATCTATCTATCTATCTATCTATCTATCTATCTATCTATCTATCTATATATCTATCTATCTATCTATCTATATATCTATCTATCTATCTATCTATCTATCTATCTATCTATCTATCTATCTATCTATCTATCTATCTATCTATCTATCTATCTATCTATCTATCTATCTATTTCATAATGTAGAAATTTTTTAAAAAAATTCATATTTCTATCACTCACCTGATTAATCAATCTGAAATCGTGAGAAACTAACACCATACCACCATCGAAATCATTAATAGCATCGGCTAAGGCATCAATAGTCTCCATATCCAAGTGATTGGTAGGTTCATCAAGCAACAACAAATGAGGCACTTGCCAAGCCAACCAGGCGAATACGACACGACAACGTTGACCATCAGACAACTGTCTAATGGGGCAGACTTGTTGGCGACCTGTCAAACCATAACGACCAATAATTTTACGCATTTCTTCTTTTTCCTTAACATCGGGGAAAGCACGCATCATGTATTCCAAAGGACTGGCATCTAAGTCCAAGAGTTCGTGCAAATGTTGGTGATAACGGGCAATACGTAAATGAGAATTTTTACGAATCATGCCAGAAGTGGGTACCAAATCACCATATAGCAGCTTAAGCAAAGTTGATTTGCCCGCACCATTGGGACCCACCAAAGCCAAACGTGTATCCAAATCTATACCGAATTCCAAATTCTTATAAATCCAGGGTGTTTGATCATTGTAACGGAAACTAACATTTTGCACCATGATAACGGGTGGGGGAATGCCACCGCAGGAAGGGAAATAAAAGTTGAGAGTTTTGTCGTCGGTAACCTTTTCCGTTAAACCTTGAGCCACCATTTTGGCCAAAGTCTTTTCCTTGGACTGAGCCTGTCTAGCCAACTTGGCGGAACCGTGACCGAAACGTGCAATATAGTTCTTCATATGGGCAATTTGATCCTGTTCCCAATTGTATTGTTTCATTTGATTTTCCAACAGTTCCATGCGGGTGCGACAGAATTGTTCATAATTACCGGTATAGTATTTGAGGCGTTTATTGGTCATGTGTATGATGTTGGTGCAGACGCCGTTAAGGAAATCTTGGGAATGGGAAATGAGAACCAAAATACGTTTGTAGGTCTTTAATTCTTCTTCCAACCAGACACAAGCATCTAAATCCAAATGGTTGGTAGGTTCATCGAGCAATAGCAAATGGGGTTTAACGAACAAAGCACGAGCCAAAGCGATACGCATACGCCAACCACCTAAAGTTAAGAAATAAAAGGAGAAGATATAAAAAATGCTACCTTTCTCTTTAGGTGTGCAATAATTACCAGAAAAATCTTTAGCCTGTTTCTGTTGCATTTCCTTGTCAAAGCCCAAACCGTGAAGAATACGTGCAGCCTTTACCTCAGCCAAATCGGCTGCCATATCATCAAGACGTTCATAGATGTCGAGCAATTGATCCTGATCATTATCGTCCTCACTCATAGCCAGTTCCTCAGCCAATTTCTCTAATTTAATACGTTCCTCATCTACCTCCATAACGCATTCCAAAGCCGATTTAGTACTGGCGGGTATTTCACGTGATAAATAGAAAATATCCATATGTTCTGGAATGGGCACTTCACGATTACCCAAAACGGCTAGCAAAGAAGATTTACCACAGCCATTTAAGCCAATAACACCATAGCGACGGCCACAATTCAATTCCAACATAGTATCCTGCAACAGCTCGGAACCAAAGAATGTAATAGAGAAATTGGCAATTTTAATATCACGAGAACGTGCATGAGAAGCCAAAGAACCGGTACAGGCTCTAGCCTCGGCAGAGATGCGTGCCTCTTCTTCCAATTTGGCACATAATTTCTCCTCTTCGGTTAATTCGCGAGCAGGCGAATTGCCATTGGTGGTGCCATTTTTCTTAGAGGAGGACACTTGGGTAATCTTCTTATTACGTGCATCCTTTTTACGTTGTGCATCACGTTTTTTCGAATCGGAAGGCATTATTGGTTAAGGTTTTCTTAAAATATAAAAAAATTCAAAAAGATTAAACATTTTCCAGCAAATTGTTTACTTTTTGCTAAATACTAAAACTAAACATACCCCCCGCTTACACAACAACAAAACTAAACGGTTTTTTACTCTTCACTCTTTCTCTTTTCCTTAACAAAAGCAATTTTTACTTAAGAGAGCATTGCCAAGCAAAAAAGTAATGGCACATGTGCGAAAATGTAGGAAAAAAGAAAAAGAGCAAAAAATCTGAACAAAAAACGAAATATAATTACAAATTTACAGCAAAATTAAAAAAAATAATTACGTGTTACAAAAAAAACCAACTTAACAACAAAGAAATAACATGAAATAGCCAAAAATTCCCCTTTAAATTACAAAAAATATTTTATTAATAAAAATAATCAGTTGTCTCTCTTTTCTTTATACTTTAACCCTGAAAAAATATCAATAAATTTCCTTAAAAAATTTAAAAATTCTTTTCTATAAAACAAAAAACTTTTTTACACACACACCTTGTTTTAAGTTTCAATGGAAAAATTTATAAATTTCTTTTTGTTTCCTCAAAAATTATGATTCAACCACAATTTCGCAAAAAAATATAACTTTAGCTTCACACAATTTTTTCACTTTTTTTTCTTGCTAATTCCTTCCGTTTTTGGTATTATTGAAACACTTGGAAACGAAAAACGTCTTTTAAAAACGCAAAGAATAAAGTAGAAAAACTAAAATATATTTTTTCACTTTTAATTTAATTCTTCACGTGTTTTACGAACAGCACAACGTCCATCTACAAAGACGTCTGACAATGAAGTGAATGAGTTTTGCATACAACACTCACCTGTTTCAATTGTAGTTTTAAAGAATTTATGAAACAAATTACAAATTATTAAAAAATAAACTATATTTTCGAATGTTGTTGAGTTTTCTATTCGATTTATTTAAAAAATCTATAATTTTTTATAAATATTAAAAAAACTATTTAATTAAACGTAAAAATGCAACTCT